TGTTCGCGTACTTTTTTTCAGTCACATGGAGCGAACATATTGGTTATGTAGTCTACAAAAGGAAGAAATGAATAAAAAAAATCAAAGCGTCTGTATACCTAATACAAAACATATCTACAATGTCAATGACATAATCATGGCAACTACCTAAAACATACTGAATTAATATTTGCAAAATAAATTATATTATCAAAGATACAATTTGTGATCAAAACTAACATCTTTCCTCTACAGTTAATCAGGCTATAGTCTTCAATGAATTTATACTAGTGTCATATTTACTTACGTTGAAAAGCATTTTCTTTTCATAGAATTTTATGAACTAGAGTCGTTGTTTTTTATTTGACACATAAGATTGCATTTACACAACGTTATTTTTTGTCTCAAATGGTTACGAAGAAGACATAAAAAAGAATTCTACAGTGAAGCCTAGTAGATATAAACAAATAGAAATGGCTTTAATCAACTATTCTGTTTTTTGATCATATATATTCAAACACAGATTAGTTTTTTTCAAATTTATTATACATACGTTTTCACGTATACAATAGAAGAGAAAAAGAAAGAGAAGCACCGTTTCATTACGACCATTGCCATGTATTGAAATTACTTTTCCTTTCTTTTTTTAAAATTTATGCCCGAAAGCCAAACTACAAAAGCATAATCAGAAATGATTGATTGACATCGAGTTTTTCTTTTCTTCTAACCTAGGTGTCTAACTTTTATCATGCAGAAAAAAACAGCGAGTAAAAATTTTTTAAAATTATCAACGATAGGATACGTCACTATTTTCAGTTGTTATAAGATTTCTTGGTAAAAAGAAAATAGATTAATTTTCAAAAATATTAATTTTATTAGCACAGTGTATAATTTCATAGGCAACGTTGAAATGATTTCCTTCTTTTTTTTCCGATGTTCAACTAACAGGAAAAAGGATTTCGAAGAAAAGTTTGTTCAAATTAAAACATCTAACTTGTAGGAATAGATTCAAAATTTTCTTAAGACATATGCACATACTCTGATATAGAAAAGTTGATAAAATAAAGAATAATGAAAGTATACGAATCTAAAATGGCTCAATATGTTCGATACATTGTCACAATGTTTACGTCTAGTACGAAGAAACTTTGAGAAATTACTAGTTGATCACAGGTTATAGGTGTCGGTATATATATCTTCTTTTCACTTATACCTACACCTTCCTGGTAACTCGAGATGTTTCCAAAGGATTATATTCATTCAAACGCGGAGGCACATGCAAAACATATCAGGAATGAAGGGAAGTGTGATATTCTTGCTTTTTTGTTTGCCACGTAATATGATATTTGAAAATCTCAGTGTTCATTCAAATACAGGAAATCATAATGTCATTTCAAAAACAAAATGTTGCAACAACCCTGAAACTATATAGAAAGGTTGCAATCATGAATGTGATACTTTTTAAATTATATTTTTATTGTTGCAGTTCTTACTGGCATTCACATTTCAATTCATACACGTATAAAACTGAACCAAAATGGCTTGGCGTCCATCGTACAGTAATTATCCATTTGAAAAATCGTATTCTGAGTCAGACTTTCGTGGAAATATGCTAAATTCAACTACTTACAATGGTGATGTTTATCGTCATAAATATAATTGTGAATTAGCAGCCGATGCAAGTGCTTATTCACGTGGATCAACTTATTCAGACTCAACAAGCAATCAATATGCTCAAAACCTTTCATCTAAAGACAATGTTCATTGATACAGCAGTACAGCATCAAATTATGGTCATGATCGTTCATTAGTCAATCAAGTGTTACGATCAGCTTGTACTGATGGAGGAGTTGTTTCAAATCCACATGAACTATCACATATTCGAGAAGGTCCAACATGGTTAGCAGCTCATAAACGACTTAGCGTATTTTCGCCGATTCTATTATCACCGAATGAATTTATCACTGAAAATGAATAAGTAGCGTTTGATCCGTCTTACAGACGACAATTATATTTTAGCTGATTAGTCCATGATACCAAGTCAGGTGGTTTCCAAGTCGGATGGATGTGGGTGTGGATGAGTGTGGGTATGAGTCTTTTTTCCACTACACACACACTCACATCCCATACCCTGAATTAACGAGACTACTATAAACAACGTTTGAAATCTGTTGACAATCGATGGCAAAAGGATCCGATATGGATTTTTCGAGCACTTAATTTATTACACAGAGAAAAGTTGTGCAGACCAGTCAATTACTGTATGAAAAAAAGATATCAAGATGGAAAAATATGCTACCTAACCTATCCAGGTAAAATGAGATCCCATCATAGAATAGAAAAATGTAGCAATATTGAGAAGTATTTTTATCTTACGAGGAAATATTAATTTTTTTTTATTCGAATGTATCAGATATAGGCATGGCCATTCGTGGTTCTTTAGCGTTTTGAAATAAAGCAAGACGTCATCTTAGATCAGTGTTTGCAACATTGGGTAAGCCTTTTTTCATTCTACCAACAAAATTTACAAGATGATGTGGATTTTTTAACTAATATTAATCCCGAAAAATTTGGTTCGACATCTAATCCCAATTGGGTGGGTGTGTGAGTAAACTAAATACCAACACACACCCCACACCCATATCTTACACGCACTTGCTTTATTTTTCATTGGTCACACTATAGCATGTTTTGGGACAATAAAAAATATCTGTTTAGAGTCTATATTGAAAGCGGTTTCTAACTGTATGTTCAAAACATTTTTATCATGTCTTATCTTTGAGTAGCGGCCACGCCCTCAGATGACACTAAAGTGTGCTATAACTGTAAAAAAACAACCTACAATGATTGCGGCAGAAAGAACCGATCTTTAAGCAATGCCATAGTATTTTCTACAAAGGTGGTAGTGAATTAAACGATGAGTTTATTGGGAATAAGAGCACCAACATATGATGGGACAGATAGGAGATATTCGAAAAGTACTCAAATATTAGTTTCTTCTGCCGCAATGCTTTTTACAGAGTACATGTTCGTGCCATTCAAGGACGTGGCCATTACTCAAAGATAAGACATGACAAAAATTTTTTGAATATACAGTTAGAAAGCGCTTTCAACGTAGATTCTGAATACGTATTTTTTTTATTCTTACAAAACATGTTGTAGCTGATGAAATATGAAGCGACATTTTTCCGTGAACTTTTGTACCACTCGTTATTTCTAGTCTTTTTCGTCTTTCAAAGTATTAGATATTTTATTCAACCTAAGAGTTTCTAGAGAAATAAAATATGTTCGACTGCACACGTCATTATATAACATGGCCTAATCTTTTCTGCACACTAGGTGCACATTTATTAAAGACAATAATATATGATGCAAGAATATGAATAAGAAAATGTCTTTTATCTCTACAAGTGTCCTCAATGATTTGAGCCACTTGATCCCGAGCTACCACTTCCACTGCTTTCTCCAGTACTTTGTTGTGCTGTTGTTCCACCTCCCGATGGAGCTCCTTGTGTGCCAGTGATGTTGGGAGCACCAGCACCTCCTGATCCACCTTGTTGAGAGGTGCCTGCTTGGCCACTTGTATCGCCATATGTTGCTCCTCCTCCTGTATTTCCACCTCCGCTGGAACCTCCACTTGATCCCGTATTACTTCCACTCGGTTTTCCTGATGACATGACTTTGAGCTGTTGAAAGAAGAGTGCTGCTGTTGTTTAACAGAAAAATAAATGAAAGAATAACGACAGAATGTCTTCTCTTATTAATAGCTCCTGAGAAAAAAAGAAAGTAAGGAAGAAAAGAGAAGTAAAAAATAGACATGCACTCTTTGCTCTCCTCACGTTACCTAACTCGTGAGTTAAAACAATGGTGCACTCACATAAACTCTCGCTAAGTAACTCTTTTTCTCTTTTTTGCCTCACGTTGCACAGCCACTTGTCGGCAGTCAAACAGTAGAGCAGAGGCAAGAGAAGAAAGAAACCTTTCACAATGAGAGAAAGAGAGAAAGAGAGAAAACTTCATTCAATTGCTCGATTCTATGTATAATTTTTTTATCATTACGTGTTTCACCATGAAATTGATAGTGTACCGAAGACGCGGAAGAGAAAATGGAACTACATTGTCATTCCCTCTTGTATAGAAAGATAGTCCTTCTATTAAGGTTCTTACCAAAATATAGTGAGATCCATCGGTGGGTCTCATCGTGATGAATCTGTTAAAAGAAGAAGAAAAAAGCGAGAATTGAAGAAATTTTTTGTTGATGCAAAAAAAAAGAATAAGATTTGTTCTTTTTTGTTGATATGAGATTGATTATTTTGAAATAGAAATGTGTATTATTGGGTTCAGTTAGATCATATTTATTTGGAAAGATCATTGAAAAACGTAAATTATTCTTAATGATTATATAAAAGCAATTATGTAATCAAACATTGAGTTCAATAGAACAACAAAGAACATTTTACCATGAAAAAAAATCTTCGAAAATTTTCAAAATTGCTTCGAACGAACAATTTTATTCATGTTTCACATCAATGCACATTTTCGTTTTTTCATATCATTTGGAGAGGTAACTCAATCCTACCTGTTTCCTGTCAATTTTCCTTATAACGAATAAGAAAGTCATCCTTAGTTTGACACAGATAGTTTGTTGGAAAATTGATTATAGCAGATGCAAATCTTTTTTTTGACTTTCTATCGAATAGAATTGTTGATCAACGAAGATTTTTAGACTATCGATAAGCGATTGCTTTTCTTAATAGAAATGACTCAGTTGAACATTTTGATCAATGTATTGACGGACTTTGATCATCCCTAAATAAGGTTCTTTATCAATTTTTTTTTCTCTGAAGAAATTGAACAAAACCTTTGCGATAAGAAGACGATTGTTATCGACATCTATTTCTTGTATCTATTCCCATAGTGATATAATCGTTTGAATTGTATTTTGAAAAGACTAATCTAATTAGAACTTTTTTCATGCGTTAATCTGTTGTTGAGATATTTTTTAGTGGTTCATCATGGATGTGGGTATGGGGTGTGAGTGTGATTCCTATTTTGCTTCTCACTCACACCCGCATCTACATGCCCACTCACACTCACACCCACACGTTGAAATTAACTACTATCTATTGAAAACGTGCCATTATTACTCATTGTTCGATTTCACCGTCATGCGGCGTTACTACGGAAACAACCTTCTTAGTGGTGAATTTTTTTAAATAAAATGGATTTACCTCAAACAAGATTAGTGTTAAATTACTTCATATCATATGCTAGTTTAGCATAAATTAGAATTCGTTTGATTTATTCATTGCCCAAATTATATCTATAGGTGGCGATAGTGAGAATTGCATCTGCTATTGATAGGCCGAACGAAACAAGTTCCTGCTGAGAGACAGTATACCATATGTAAAAAAGTCGATCATTTTTGTTAATTCATTTTGAATTAATCAATGTATTTGGCGCCTATACCAAGAAATAGACAGAAATATTAATGGTAATTTAAACTACTAAAATTATTGTGTATATTTTTCATTATAAAAAATAAAAATGATAAATACTTGGTGCATACCAAAAGTAGTGGCGTTATTATCTTACTTCTTTAATAGAAAGCTTGAATAAATTTTCTTTTTTTATGTAGTAATAGAGAAAACGATGTCCTATTTTTCTGTACTATTTGATCACTCTTTAACTAATATCATAATAATAAAATTTCGATAAGAATTGTTTTTATGTACACCTTCAGTAATACGTCAGGCGGATTAAATGACCACGCTCTGGATTTCATTTTTGAATCACTTAATAGGTTGTATCAAAAACAAAATAAAATATACCATAAGATACAGCGTGAAAATCTCTAACCTCTACATAAGATCGCTTATTTTATAGTTGAATTTTTTATTTTCAAAATGAACAAAATTTTCAGCAACCAATTTTCGACCGTATGAAAATAATATTTTTCTTGCTAAAAGATAAATTCATTTTTTCTTATTTCATCTTTTTATCACCTGATATCTTTTATTTAAAAAAAAACAAAATACATCACAAGATACAGAGTGAAAAGATCTACAATATACAAAGTAAAGCTTATTTTAATTGTAATACTTCTTGTTTTCAAAAAAAAAGCAAAATTCTGTATGACCAATTTTTGCTGCGCTACAAAAATTATTTTTTTCTAGACAACGAGAAATTTCTTTTTTCCTTATGTATTACTAAAGTTGTATACAAAAACAGTTCTTATCGAAATTCTATTGTTATGATATTAGTTGAAGAGTGATCAAATAGTACAGTAAAATAGAGCATCGTTTTCTCTATTACTACATAAAAAAAAATTTATTCAAGCTTTCTATTAAGGAAATAAGATAATGACGTCATTACTTTTGGTATGCTCTAAGTAACTAGTATATTTTCTTAGATGTTTATTGCTATCCTATTTTCTATTATTACATGTCTACGAGTATCAGCTAATGGTAAAATTGTAGTTGATAAACTTCATTTAAATGGTTATTATCACATGCCAATACCAAATAATGATAATCAATACGTTTTTAATATTGATTGGTCATATGCTTTAAATCGTTATGTAGTTACTGTAACTGGACAAACATTAGCTTGGGCAACAGCTACATTAAATATAATTAATGATACTTCAGTAAATCTTGTATGTGATAATGGTATTAGCTTACCAGGTGTAATAAAATATTCAACAGATTTACCATCAATTTGTTGGTTAACATCAAAAGATTTTACTTGTTGGAATCGTCTTCTATCAAATATAACACGTATACATGTTATTCATATGTAAATTTCTTTTTTTTTTTGTCTTTGCTAAAACTTATTCTTTGCTTTCTTTAGGAATCATTTAGATGTAGGTTATAATGGTATTCCAGCAACGGGTTTTATAAATAATATTCTCAATATATATTTTCATCAGTATCTTCCTCGTGCAGCTATTTTAGCTGAACAAATTCATCGTATATCACCCGATGATTCATTTGTATATACAACACATCCATGGTTATTAAGTATGTTTTTTGATTGTCCATCAAATTTGGTTCTTGCTGGAATACAATTAAAATGTCCATCGAGTGATGAATTAATGTTAATTGAACGAGCTATACGTACTGGTGCAATAACATGGCATGCTGGTGCAATGAATATGCAATATGAATGGATGGATGAACGTGCATTAAATCTTTCATTAGATTTATCTGTTTCATTAGCAAAACGTTTTAATGTTCCTATTCCATGTGTTATTAGTCTACGTGATGTACCTGGAATTCCTCTAGCAATTATTCAATCATTGAATAAATATTTTTCACAATATTGTTCATATAGACCTATGGTTACCGTTGGAGTTAATGCAGGTATAAAGAATTTTAATATATTTTAGAAGAAAATATGCACTTATTTGATTTTCAGGAATAACTGGTCTTGATATACCAAAGGGTTTATTTCGATGGGGAACAAGTGATGATTCAAATGTACTTGCAACATGGCATTCATTTGGTTTATACATTTATTTAAAAACGAAACAAGAAAAATAAGAAAGTATAATAATATTATTATTTTAGGTTATCCGAATAATCCTGGTTCAACATTTGCAAATCCAGGTGGTTTATCTTTGAATGATCTTGTTATTGTTCCACAGATTGGTGTTGGTTTAGCATTTGCATTTCGTACTGATAATCAAGGTAATTTAAAAATTTATTTGTTCTTTTTCTTTCTTATCAAAATTGATAAGGTCCACCGATGTCAATTGCTGAAATTCATCAAACTTATGATATTCTTCGTCAATCATATCCAGGTGCTCGAATTATTGCATCATCATTTCAAAATTTTCTTGAAGACATATCGAGCACAGCAGATGAACTTGAATTATTTAATCATGATATATCTGATTTATGGTTACAAGGTATTGGATCCGATCCAAAGCGTGTTCAACAATATCAAGCATTACAAAGAGCTTTACGTATATGTTTTGAACGTAATCTGTGTACAATAAATGATGATCAATTAATTAATGCTAGTCGATTTCTTATTAAAATTCCTGGTAAATAAAAGTTTTAGTTTGTTTTAGTTACTATATAACAACTAATCAGAGTCAAAAGTAATTAACCTCCCCCTACAGAATAGAAGTCCACTCTGTCCAAAATGAGCATAAAATAAATAGTTTTAAAAATTGGATAAATTAACCCACTGTTTCTTATTATTTTATCGTATGTGTCAGTTTATATGTCTAATTTTCTTTACGTTGCATATTTTTTAGCAACAGACAAATGAACATCTTTGAAATATTAACAAATTTTTATGCATATATGTTAATAAAACATAATTGTCTAAGAACTATTGAATAGAAATTCCGATATGTATAAATTTCGTAGAAATAAAAACGTCGAAAAAAATAATATCGAAAGCATTATTAATGCCCTTTTAGTACACACTAATCATATGCAAATGAAGGACATAGATCCTTCTATAGATTATTCACGCGGCGTTGATAAACGGGTGTGCTGCAGCAAAGGAGTCCATATCATATCCCGCGCTATTACAGTTCTGCTCCATTGTCATAGTCTAACGTGTAACTAAAAAGTCATTCCATATAACTCTGGATGATATTTCAATAGGTACATAATATAACTGTATTTAATGCTCATGTTAGAAGATTCTTTAGGTATGAATACCAAAAATAGTTTTTGCGTGTTTTTCTCAACATTGGTTTTTTTTGTATAAATTGTTGAATGCCGAACAAGTTGCTTTTCGATAAATAGATGTATTCTCTTTTGGATGAGAGAAACGGATTTTCTAGTCGATCTTCAACATTAAAGTAAGTATGGGTTTTCGAGAAAATTTTATCTAAAACTTTTGGAGTTTTTTGAATTTGAAGGACTGAAGAGATCTAAAGTAATCAAAAAATATGAGTGAATATTTTGTGAGAAGATTTTCGTGATATAGATTATTTATTTTGTTAAGATTTATTTTGTAGAACATACTTGGGGTTTACCAGCAGTCTATGATCAAATCAATTGGAGTAATAAACAATTTCAACAAGTTGTTAATACAGTACAATCATATAATAATTGTCGAATAGCATGGCTTGAACAGCGAGAATTTTTTGATTTATATTTACAAACAGTTTATGATCATCCACTTTATAATATAATACAAGACGAACTTTCTCTTGCATTTAATAATGTAACAAGACCTGATTTAGATCATTTTAAAATTGTTTTACCAACAGAAACATTTGAATTATTTCGTGATTCACTAAATCCAATTTATGTTTCATTTGATAAAAATTTAGGATCAATCTCAAATTTAGTTCGAAATGAAGAAATTTATTGGACAGATGAAAAATCTCAATTAGCAAACTATGTTTATATCACTTATAATGAAACTGATTTCACTCAATTAATAAATACATATGGAAATGCAGGTATAAACTTTGCTTTTTTATTAATGTAAAATTTTGACTGCTCCCTTTTTCCAAACTGCTACATTCACCTTTGAATATTTAAAAGATATTAAAATATTATTTAGACCTACAGGACTACAAATGGAATAAAAATTTGTCTTTCATATTTTTCGGAATTATCATTGAGAAGGATTTCTACAACAATGTTTATCAATAGATCATACATTTCCATAGGTTGAAATAGTTTAGTATGAATGGCAACAATTAGGCACTACAGTAATCAGCCACCATGTAGAATCAAATCATATGAGTATGATGGTCAGAGTAGCATGTAACAAAAGAAAATATACGAAGATGGAATTAATCGATAGATGATCTTGTGGTGAACTCTAATTGAGTACTGATATTTACCTTTTGAATTTATTACAATGTTATGAAATAATGAAAACTATACTTGCTATGAAGTAGTAAAAATTGAAGCCAGTAGATGCCTTAAAATAAGGAAAAATTTTTAAAAACAACTATATTTTAACTTCATGCTACGTTTCATGCGCAAATAGGGAAGTCTAATAAGTATTCTTATTTATACTCGGTATGCACAGAACCCAAAAATTTCGATTCAATCTTGACTACGATCATTTTCAGTTCATTGATAAAAAAAGAACCAACAGTCTACAAACATACTAAAAAAAAGTAAACAAACTTCAGAAATACTCGAACTCGAACTTAGCCAAAACACTAGAGTGCTTCCAAATATCCGTCTGAAATACCGAACTATTGCAGTGTTTCGGTTTAGTGCATACCTACTTTGTATTCATGTCGAATATTCCTTGCCCTTAAATAGAATAATCATTTTATACTTTCCTACTATAAATAGATATTGGAAGCCAAAAACAAAAAATATAAAATATTTATCTTTATCTTATTAAAAATATTAAAATTTTTATTCTCGTTTAAACGTTTAGGTTACGATAAACCAAATTCAACGGTCAATGCTAATCCAGATTCACGTGTATGGTTACCAACATTAAAAAAATTTTTTCAATCACAAAATGATGAGAATGTTTTTCTTGCTCTATTAAATATTGATACTGATGCTATTAAATTATACGGTGGTTTTAATGAAATATGGTTAAAATATACATTTATTAATGAAAAAACACTTATACTTGAATGGTTAGGTTTAAATAAAACAGCTACACGTCTAGCTGAAGCATCAATGATTAAATTTTTACTTCCAATGCAACCATCATGTTCATTAATTCAATATGATACAAAAGTTAATGTTCAACAAGCAGCAATAAATTCTTCATATTTTCAACGAGGTGTAGATGCATTTTCATGTCGAACGAATTTGTCTTCAAAATGTTTTGTTACAATTGATGTTAAATCATTTGATGCCCCAATTGGTTAGTCCCAAAAAAATCGATTTCTTTTGACAAAAAAAAAAATTTTCGTTTGTTTTTGTTATTCATTTTAAGCTTGCCCAATATTGAAAGATAAGGAACCAACAGTTCTGCCATTTCCAGCACCTGGAAATTCACCACCATTAGATGGAATAGCTTATAATTTACATAATAATGTTTGGGATACAAATTATATCTTTTGGTATCCAATAGTTTCTGGTGATGAATCATGGCGAACTCGATTTTTAATTAATTTTGATGGATCATGTAGTTAGCTAAAAACTTCGTTTTCTTCTTATTATTATTATCGTGATATTTACAACAGCCTTTGTATTTGTGATATGAATTTAATTTCTTGATTTTTTTTTGTTCACGAGTAACTATTGAGATTTTTAAATCTCGTATTATTAGTATATTTAACTAACAATACCAGTTTTAGAGAATTTTATAAATTTAAATAACTAAACATTACGGAATTTTTATTTGACTATAACTTAATGTATCTGATAAGAAAAAAATATCTATTAGGGTGGGTGTGGGTGTATCCGTGTCAGTGTGTGGTGTAGGTGTGCGTGTGCGTATTATCCAATTGAAGACACCCACACCCACACCCATCTCCGTTTTCTAAACCCTATCCTTATAGTTTAGGAAAACAATCAATAAATTAGCAACAAAACAAAAAAAACAAGAATATTTTACATGTGACATAGATTAGTTTATCAATATAAAATGTATGATAAAAAAAAAGAGATTTTCTTTCACTAATATAATCCTAAGATATGGAAGACGTTTATCGCTTTGTGATTTATGATATCGATAAATAATTCACGAGTCAAATTACACGAAACCAAAGGAACGCTTAAAGTCGTTAGTCTTTTTCTTTCTTCCATAAATGAGTGCGTATTGCAGAATACAGGTGTACGAAAGCCTTCGAAAAGAACGAAGACAAACGTATTTAAGTAAGTATTCATTGACTAATATCTTCGATGGCAAATAACAACAACAACAACAATAACAATATACATGGCTATGTTGCTCCAGGTTGGAATAGTGTTCGCTCTGTTTTCGAACAAAACTTAGCTGAAGGACTTGATATTGGTGCAAGCTTATGTATTTATCATCGAGGACAATGTGTTGTCGACTTGTATGGTGGCTGGAAAGATATACAACGAAAAAAAGAGCCATATACATCGGATACATTGCAATTAGTTTTCTCAGTATCAAAAGGCATAATGGCTGCAGCTATAGCATTATGTGTAGAAAAAGGTTGGCTTGACTATGATATACCTGTTGCACAATATTGGCCAGAATTTGCTGCGAATGGTAAACAGGTAGAACATGTTCAAAGAGAGTATATCTGTGAGTACTACTAGTAAATACTAATATTTTTCTCTTTAAGAATATCACAGTAAGTGATGTATTATCACATCGAGCTGGTTTACCATATGTTGATGAACAATTAACACTCGACGATGTATGTAATTGGTCTCGAATGACTTCTCTATTAGCAGCACAAAAGCCACATTGGGAACCTGGAACAATTCATGGATACCATGCAGTTACAAGTGGTTTTCTTGGTGGTGAACTAATTCGTCGTGTTGATCCTCACCATCGTCCATTTGGTCAATTTGTTCGTGATGAAATAGATAATGAATTTTATCTAGGTGTACCTAATGATGAGATTGAAGCACGTGTTGCTCTTCTTATTAAAAAGGTACGTACTCCATTGCTAAAAAATAGAACGAGATTATTCTATTTCCTTTATCCAATAGTTGCGGATTTTTTTTTTCAATGAAGAAAATTTTTATTATGCTATTTCTCAACTAATTGATATTAACAATTGTCTATTCTTAATAAGAATCAATAGAGAATTATAGTGACTTTATGTTGCAAAATTTTGTAATAGTAAATAAATCTTATCTTAATTTTTATAAGATCAATACCAATTCAACTATTCTTCCACCAATGAATTCATTCACTGAAAAAACATTAACATGCAATGGAGCTTTTCCTATTGAATCACAGAATATGAGTGACTCTGTTTTCAACAAACCTCAACTTCATCGAGCTGAAATTCCTGCTGCTAACGGTATTACAAATGCTCGTTCTTTGGCACGAATATATGCTCGTCTCATTGGTGATATCAATGAAAACGGTCAAAAGAAACAACGTCTTATCAGTGAAAAGACATTAACACGAGCTACAACAAATGTTACACCAGTGGGTGAACCTGATCGAATTTTGTTTGGCATAAAATCAATATTTGCAATGGGTGGTTTTCACATTTATAGTGATTATTTCAAGGCAATGGGTACTGGTGTATTCGGTCATAAAGGTAAAATCTGTGTGAAACTCTAGCTCCTCCTTCTGTTTATTCGTTTATATTTAATGAAAATAAGAAAATATTGGCAAAAAAGAATTTTTTTTTTCTCAATGCGATTGAAATTTTTATTTGATATTTATTGTTGTATAGGTCTGGGCGGTAGCTGTGCATTCGGTTATCCTCCACAAAAATTGACTTTTGCTCATGTTTGCAATCATCTTGATTTCAGTACGCCAACGCTTGATCCACGTACTATTCGTCTACTTCTAGCAATTGAAAATATTCTGAATCATAAAAATAATTCGTCGATATCTTTCATACATGTGAAACCAACAAAAACAAAACAAACAAATTGACTTATACTCTAAAATTTTATTTCACTTCATATGTTACATCATTTCAATCTTAAATAATTAACTTAATATTTACTTTCATTGTTTAATACATCAGAGAAATTTTATCATCTTATTATAATCAAGAAAAATGATTTGGATTTATTTTTGTAGCAATAATTTAGTGGAATTTATTTTACAAATTTATTAGAAATTCTTGTTTTTATCCATTGAAGAATAAAAATATTCGATTATTCATACAGATATTAATTGTAATAAAAGGAATATATTCAAAATACGCATTTAATAACACGTCATCTTACACAACTAAAAAATAGACAAATTGTTTAATGATCTTCTCTTTTTAAAGAGCTACATTTCAACTCTTTGCCCTATTGCATCGTCTTGGTCACTGGCTATAGCAAGGCTTTGCTTTACTGGTGTACTTGTTTTCTAGCTCATCTGTCCCTTTAGGACCGTCAAGGTGATAGGGCAAACAAAGGCATAAATAAAAAAACATCTGGAAGAGGATCGAAAGTCAGCACTAGTGTTGTTTTCGTCTCTCTTTTGATTACCTTTTCGATAAAAAAGAACAATAATTCATATAGTCACTTCTATGACTGCTCTGTAGATTAAATTATTCAATGAAACTATGCAATATTCAGCCATACGAAGGCGTGTGTATTGTCCTCTCCCGAAAAATAATAGATTCAATAATACTTCCATTTGCCATTCAACGTTTGTCTTATTTCATCATTTCGAGAAGTCATACATATATTTTCAAAAAGATTGTATTTGCATCAAATTGGATGCCAAGTGACTTTGTTGATCATAATTTTTTTGCAAAGTTCACACTACAGTATTTGTTTAGAAGAACGAGCGTAGTCGCCTAGAACATCCACGAGATGCAATCGTCTTATAATTTCACAAACTTGAATTCCGGCTCCTGTTGGGATGAGCCACCAAACTCGTGAGATCTAACGATACAACTAATTTTTCTCCATCGAATGTTAATTTTTTTCAAAGAAAAAACAATAACGCTCATATACCGAATGCCGGAACTAGTGTTCAATCACTTCAACTTCAACTTCTAGGAATTGCTGGAGTGTTGTTAGTTGTCCTGGTCATTGTTCTTCCACTTACATTTGTTCTTACTGGCATCAAAGGAAACACAACACTAAGTTATTCCACTACAAGTAGGTAGTTTTTTCTTTTGTATTTTGACTAACATCAATTTCACTGATATACAGTAGCAACCACGCTGACAACTAGTAAGTCATATTATAGTAGAAAACATGTACGATAATCGAATTTCGTTACTCTTCATTCAGTCACAACGTCAACAACGACACTCTGTGAGTTTATTTCAATGATTTTCAAGTAATATGTCATGTTTCTTCTACTAGCTCCATATGCTTGTGGTAACATGACCTTCTACAACAACACAGAACTCGGTGGTACTGATATTGGGTCAGCTACATTGAATTACACTAACTGCTGCTCATATTGCTTAATGACGTCAGGATGTGTGGGCTTCACACTAGTTGTTTCCGGTAATGCTTGCTATATAAAGAGTGCAGTTGTGAATTCTTTTGCTTCCGGTCTATACAGCGCTAAATACTGAACTAGCTTCTTCTTAACAGCAAATGATCGATCGTATACTTTCATATGAATCCGTCTATTCGTTTCTGACTCATTTTTAATAAACAACCTTTGTATTCGTACGAGAAAGAAAAGCAATGCTGTGCATATATTTGATAGAAGATGTACATTACCGAACATCTATCTTCGTTTGTTATCTGAGCGATGATGATTCGAGCGAATATTCTAAAAATAAGATGACGAAACTAAGTTTCACAATTATCTACACCTAATGAAGGAAACGTCATAGAAAGAAAATTGGCAGATGTTTCTGGCCTTAATGAATGCATTGTTGCGCAATTTCATGGTATTGATCAGAGCACATGTGTTGTATTAATTTCTAGGAAGCTCAAAATATTTTTAGACACCAAACAATTTTCGAAAATCTATTTTAGTTCCTTAGTAGACATAGGAATCATGATAGATAGACAGGACAAACAATCTCCCTTTGGACACTATATTACTTTTCGGCAATCGAAATGCATTCTCGAAAAGGGAAATCATAATCTCATTTAAACCACAAGGTATTTTCAAGTGAGAACATCAGGAAACCCACAATAATCACGCCTCTTTCATTGGGAGTATCACCGGGCACAAACATGACGTGTTTCTCTTAGTTAACTTCCTAGAATAGTGTCCAGTGCTTTTCAAGGTTGTACCCCTTAACTTTTGGAAGAAACAACATTGACGAAAACGGTGTCAGCATCTCGTCCTATGGTACGGGATAATGTGCCTATTAAAATGAAATGTTGATAGAGCTTTGCTGTCAAACTTAAAGTCAGTTATTTCCTATCAAACTAAGATTTTCACTGCGAAGAAAGTATCTCTTTGCAAGTTCACGAGAAAGTTTTGATTTCCGCAGAGCGTTGAGCTATCTGAGGATCGAGAATATACCATCATGTCTCATACACCCTTTATAGTTAGTAAAAATCTTCTGTACATAGATGTCTCAACGAATAAGCCCCTTAGAAACTGCTAGAATGGATGACCTCATGGTCAAGCATGGACAAGAGAAATTTGCGAAGAATGGAAACTGCATCATACTTTGAATTCAAGCATAGCATACTTTTAAGGGACTAGAATGTGCACAAAATAGTATGATGCAGATGGAACATTTCTTATTTGGAATCATAAGAGAAATACAAGTTAAGAGATAGAGGTAAGGAAGTGCAATACCCATTAATAATATCAGAATAATAAAACATCGCTGTTTAACTCTCGTTATCCTCATGGAAACTACCATTTTGCATGCGCGAAAAAGACTCATAGAAAGAGCACGATCCTGTTTCAAATTGTAATGAATTACGCCTGGATTTTTCCTTCTTATTTCGCAAGTTAAACTAAGAAGAAGAGAAAGAATATCGTTTAGTTCAAATCTTGCTGCCATTGTTTTCACTGATATCTCAGATATGCTTATCGAAAAAGTGACGCACTTCACCACGAATGCATTGGCAATTATTCATAGGCACAATGACAAAGATTTGTGAACCTATCTGAATATAGTTTTTGATCAAAGCGTATTGATGCTACACGGAGAGAGATGGTTCTCATATTTCTAAAAGACAGGATAATAACGAATGCTTGAAGTAAATCAAAGCACTTCCGGCGTATATTATTAGAGTTTGACCAGCGCAATAACAACGGTAAACGTTTTTCTTTTCTAAAAATAATCAATGCATGTTCTTTTTAGTGGATAAAGAAGCCTATTGCTATCCAATGAAAGTCTTTTTCCCAAGGTAAACGATGGAGAAGTTAGACGCAAGCAACACTTCGGAAGAAATTCAAACAAACAAAGTGTTTTTACCAAGTAAAATCATGAGCATTGAACGAAGACGCAATTGCTATTGACGGGAAACATTTCTGGATATTTCGTTGTTCATTTTCTTTCTCTAATGTGTCAATACAATATTACCTTTGGAGAAAAGGATTCTTTTTTTCTTGCATTCATAGAGTGATATCAAATCCCATGGAAATTTATCCATCAACAATTCTAATCAAAACACTTCGCCAAACAAACACTTCAATGGTCGTAGGGCGCATCGTCAACGAAGACTTCGATCCGTCGACTTATTTCACTTCATTCATTGATAATATTTGCTAATATCAGCAAAGAGAAAGAAGTGAACGATGTAAACGGGCATTAAGAACTTCATTCCAAGATACTTATGTTATGTTTGACTAAGTTTCATTTCGAAAAATAAATTGACATCTTTTATCAGACATTCTTATGTTTAACTTCACTTTTTCATTATTTGAGAAGAAAATAAAAATGAACAAAGTGAAACTAAATCCATTGAGTAAACAACTAAATAAAAAGAAGAAAAGAAGAGAGAAAATGAGAGAAATAAATAGGAGTGAAACGAGCGAAAAGTGTCACATCATTTCTTTGAAGTAGAATGCTATTTTTACGATACACAATTGGTCAACCTTCTTCTTCTCATTCTTGTTGCTTCCATTCAATAAAGAATAATCTCCAAGAATTAATGATGATGCCGTTTGCCAATATAAATATGAACCTGATGATTGTCTTCTCAATCATTCGGTTAAGTCAATCATCGAGTATGCATTTACTTTCTTTTTTTTCTATTCATCAGTGTAGTGACTGAAAGAATCATATTACACAGAAATCTTATGCTCGTCGCTAGTAGAATTTGAAGTGTAACCTGAATTTCTTCGAGCCAACGAACAAGCTGTGTATATTTTCGCTTCAGAGCAGTATCAAGCTCTATTTTTTCTCTAAGGATTTCACTAGGGCCGAGCGTTGTTTACTTCATTTTTCGAGAGATATTTCTTATGAATGCTCAAAACGTTTGTTGGTCACATTTCTTCGAGCTTAAAAAAACAATCAATGCTACCCAACTGAATGTCTTTTACACAAATCAATCCATTCAATGTGGAGATCATACGATGCTAATTGAAGGTGTTCGTATGGGTTATACAAGCCTAAAATGTTTTTACTTATGAGCTTTTCTAGTTGATTTCTGTCTATTTTACTTGGATTCTATTTGTTCTTTCAGTTCTCACTATACTGCCAAGCAATAGAATTGTGAGTGGGTGGGTGTAGGTGTAGGTGTGCATGTGTTTCTTTTCTTTATACACCCATACCCACTCTCAAGTTTTGAAAACAAATTCAATTTTATCGTGAATAATTTTGCTAATTCATCGAACGTAAAAGAGTTAGTGGAAAGAACAAACGTGCTCGAAAGTCATGTCTTTGGCGCTTCCAGATCTCTCCAATTTTGGAGACAGTTCTTATTGTTGATCATCAGTATTGGTCTGTTCGTCGGCGTGCTAATTCATCTGGAAAAAATGCATTATTCCTCGGTTAATTTTGTATTTTCGTAAAGAATCGCAAAAGTATCCTTTAGAGATTTCTACTGTTAGTAAGCAGATTAGGCTCACAAATGAAAAAGATATTCAAATGGTAGAGATGAAGAAGTTAGTTGAAGAACTGATTTATCTGCAAAATAATCAGAATAACAATTTAAGCACGGTACTTAAAACGCTTAACCCTTTCGCGGCGATGTGATCCACCGGTGGGTCACACTATATGGTGATCGAAAAGCTCATTTACTGCAGAAAAAATTGAATATCTCTGCCATACTTTGACCAAAGGGACTGATTGTTTCGCCACTGATAAAGGAACGTTCATAGCTCATATTCATCAGAGAAACGTTGATAGAAACTCTTTTGAAGTATTACAATTGTCACAAATACAGAAATGAAACCTTTCACGAATTATGAAAACGAATATTCATATCGCTGCGAAAGGGTTAAAGAACCAGTTCCAGTATAAGTGCACTAAGATCGGACAAACCAACCATGCTGATTAAGTCAAAGTGGAATTTGAAATATATCGAGTAATTCATCGACTTGTTCGTTGATTATGACATCCCCTAGTCGGCTTTCACCCACGAAGTCACCGATGAGCCCCTTAAAAAATACAAACTTTCTGGTGAATCTCCAGGGAATCAACTTTATTCTCTCCAGTGAATTCCTAAAGATAGTAACTCCTCAGAGAGTTCTTAGTGAGTTCCTCGGGGACTTTTTGGAGAGTCCTTAGTGAGTCCATCTGAGAGTTTTTAGGGAATTCCTAGGTTTTATGGAGGAGGGAGGAACATACGTAATTCCTAGGGAGTTATTTTTCTGTAGATTTTTTTCCACAAAGTGCAGAAACACTGAGTCCATAACATATTTCCGTGATATTTTCACTGGAATTTTCCTTCCAAGAGTATCATGTGAGGCATGACAGATAGGTAGATAGATAGGTAAATCTCTCAGTTACAATACCACTGATAAGTTGCATGCACTACATTTTTGATTATGAAGTCGTTCTCTTGACAATCCCTGGTGACTCCCGGCAAACTCCCTCGCAATTCTCTGAGGATTTCCATAACTCTCTTGCAAATCTCTGTCGTGATTCCCCGATGGAGTTTTCATGGAGATTCCCTGGGGATTTCGTGGGTGAGAAGTCGACTAGGATCTGCTTCAAAGTAACTTAATATCTTAATATGGAATCTTTTTAGTTTATGCAAATGATTAGAAATTATGTTTTCTCATTCATATTCACTTTCAATCGACATAAACTAGACATCCATTATAATATGTTAGGTAAATCGTATTCATCATCACTTGGCGACAGCTCGAAAGAAGTTATTGATAGAACATATGACGTTAACAAATCAATAGAACAATCGTAGGAAAAAGATATGGGGAGATGTTAAAGATTTGGTGTATTTGTACATAGTCGATCACAGTTAAAAGAGTGTGAATCTAGATGTCATATACATAGATGTATAATACTTGGTGATATCACAGTGGGCTCTATGAAGTCTCCATAACCCAATCGATGCTAAGTAGTAACGTTAAAAGAACAATGGGTGAGATTCGATAGATTCCGTATATAGTTTATAAATGAATGGCTCATTGAAAGATCCTGTGACTTATCAACTATCAAAGAACAATGGTTGAGGGTCAAATAAGTAAGTTTAATTAAGTGAAGTAATCTTAATATGACTTTTCCCCGAAACTATTTTTCTGAATAATCACTAAATTGAAGTGGTTGAGAAGAACTTTGACTTGATAAATACAGTGAAGTTAAATTATCAATCCAAGATAGAAGATATTCTTAATAGATTCTAACAAAATCATTGACATGCAATGATCAAGAATCGATATCATACATGAAAAAAATATAAGAAACAGGAGAATTAAACCGACAGTTAAGACCATGAAATGCATGAATAAGATGATCGATGCAAAGATATTTGAACAGATAAAGTAATAATTCATTGGCTAATGATTCTAAACTCATTTTTAAATGTATTTCTTCAGTATTCGTCAGAACAAATCAAGCAGGAAAAAAAATCAGAAAATTTTTTTAATCTTCATTATTCAAATCATGAAATAGGTTAAGTCAGATATTTTTTGATGATTTTGAAATTCGAAAAAATCTGATTTCAATTGTTTTCTCTTCGTAGTTTACTCCGCTTTGTTATTAAAATATGCTAATGAGTTTATTTAGTTTTTTTCTTCTCATCTTAAATTTGAATCAATTCTTGTTAGACAATATCTTTTACAATGCTTTAATTTTATTATATTTTGATGTAATAGAAAAAGAA